AGCGGGGTCCGCCTCATCCCTCACCACATGCAGGTGTTGCGGACTGCGGACTGAGGTAAGCAACTTAACCCTTCAGAAAGCAGCAGGCGATGGATCGTTGTGTTTGATAGTGCTGCTGTAATAGAGGCATGACACTTTGAACGACCTGGCAGCTTGACGTGAGCAGGTTTGTTGGACTTGACAGAATTACGACGTATTGCAGCTGCTTTACAACAGCGAGCTCAGCTGGAACTCGCTCGCGCCTTAAACCCCCTCTTACCCAAGAGGCAGCACTGAATAAGGGTTCCCGGTAACTCGGCAGACGGAAACCAAGACAGTGGAGCTCTTGTTCTATTACGTAAATGCTAGAATTGCAGAAATTCCTTATATCCGCTGGAAATATACCCTTTCGGGATGCTTAGTTGAGTGTTGGGTTTATGCGGCCCGGAGGCCCCAGCTAAACCTCAGTTTGACCAGAACTGCAGCACGTGAGCGGTCATCAGGAGCTGTTGGGCTTGAAGGATTTCATCTTGGAAAGACCTGTTGATTCGGAGGGAGCGATAGACATTACGGGTGGAGGAAGTTGTCATATCTGGCGCAGGACCACCAGAAACCCCAGCTCATTGCTATCCCTCCCAACCAGCCTAGCGTGTCGGGAATTAGTACCTTATGCTTAAAGCTATTCAGCTGTACATGGTAACTCGTCAACTTCGCGATATAAGCAGAGTTCTGCCGGTCTTTCCCGATGGGTCTCATCCCGGTGAACTGCTACTGCTACTTTACTTTCCGACGGCTGATTTTGTACAACTGCATATACATTATTTTGCTAGTTGTTAGTCCGTACATTCCATTTCGTGAATATAGGCAGAATATCTGGGAGAAACTGTCGCGCCCCAGTAGAAGTTCTGCTGCCGTTGCAGCAGAAGAGCGTCGTCTGCTGTAGCACAGCTCTCTCTGCGTTCGAGCACTCTGTGGGCTGCGGGAAGAAGGATTGGTAAGACGCTGAGGCCCAAAGATGTGCAAAGCAGTGACAGTGCAGCTCATCAGCTCTTCTTGGCTAGAAACTGCGTAGGCGCTACTGAAATCGGCAC